GTTGGGCGGCTGTCCTGGGCAGGCAGGCAGCCAGCCAGCCAGACGCTGGGCTAATGCCGTTCGTTGTTGTTGTTGTTAGGTTTTTTTCTCACGCTGAACGAGAGAAGCGAAGAGAAGGCCCGAAGGGTTTGAGGGGGAGGTTTTCTGCCTGTTTTTGCATGTGAATAATTCAGGGCTTGTCTGCTCTGGAAGGTTCTTTGTGCAGCTGGAGAGCTGGTGCTTGGCAGCCTCTCAGCCGCGACGCAGGGGCCCTGGGGCAGAGATTCCGCTGAGGCCTTCCGTGCAGTGGAGCAGCAAGGGAGACCGGCTCCACCGCCAGCGCCTTGGCAAGCGGCTGTCGGTAAATACCGCTATGCTAGAGGTAATGGTAAGGTGCAGGGTGAAGTGTGATTGCAGTGCTTTTTATCTGTGAAATTCTACAGTGTGCGTCTTTATTTTGTGGTAAACTGATGTAAGCTTTTTGAGCATGAGAAGGCTCTCCTTGTTAAATGCAGCAGCGTCTTGGCTCTTTCAAATAAAACACACTAAAATTCCTAAACTGCATGCCTGAGTCATCAGTAGTCACTATGAATTCTTCAGGAAAACCAGGAAAAAACAAAATTGCCACTGTGGCCCTTTCTGAAATAAGGGGGAAGAGGAACAACACTTTAAAATCCTTCTGTGGAGTGTTTTTGCAGGCCGTCATCTTGACTAAGTGCAACAGGAGCAACTGATTTCCAAATCATGGATGATTTGAGCATTGCTCAGGGATCAGGTGCTATTATAAGTGCAAGGTGTTTCCCCTTCTTGCGGCCAGGAAGTTCTGTCATTACAACACACCCAGCTCCTGCAGTCCAGGAAACTGAGGAAAGAACGCTTTTTGGGCACGCACATCAAACACTGAGGACTGTTACTCTGCATTGCAAAAGTTACTCTTCCGGCCATTTGGTGGCAAATAGAGTATTGCAACAGCAAGTTTATTTTGAGCAGTCCCAGATTGTTCCCTTCCTGTAGTCAGCGGCTCAGGTAAGGCATTGCTTATGATTTCCTGCTTCTGAAGTAAATGATGTCAGCGTGGTTTGCCCTCAACAGTTCTGCCGGGATAATGTTTAGTTCAGGAAATGGAGAAGTGGTTTTTTTTTTTTTTAAGTGAATTATGTAAACCAATGAATATTTCTAGTAATGTAAATGTTTTCGTACTTTCTTTCCCGGACAAAACACAATTGTGCCAGGAAAAGGATCGTTATAATGGAATAGCTGAAGCAGCGCCAGCAAGGACGTGCAACTTTACCTGTCCCAGTGGAGTTACGTAGTACAAGTTACTACTGCTGACACATGCAAAGGGATGTGTTTCCTGCCCTTGACCATAGTGGAGCCATCACAATTTATGCCAGGTGAGACCCAGCCCCTGTGAGGTCTCACAGGACCCACTGTGAGGTCCTGTGGCTTGCTGCCCACTCTGTTTCTCATCTTCAGGGAGGAACAGTGAGCAAGCGGCTCTTCTTTCTACCTTGAGAAGCTGTGAGGTTTCTGCCTAATTTCCACGTATTAGGGCTTTGCGATCTCCTCGTGTACTCTTCGTATCCACCTTGTTATTTCCCCCGATGTTTCTCAGCCTGTTCTTCCTTATATTTCACACTTGGTGGGGTGACCAGAGTCATCTGAGAATGGTGCAGTGGGATGCTGCACGATGGCATCTGCTGCCTGGGCTCTTGCTGCTGCCTTTGCATCCGTTGATCGTGTCCCCTTCTAGAGGGGAGGAGAGAAGCTGAGGCAGGAAAGGAAGGGATCAAAGTATTGAGGCCCCCCACCAGCACAAGTTGGTGGTCTATTATAGCATGACAGCTAATGTTTTTGTCAGAGCCGACTGCCTAAGCTTTGGGCGTGTGACATCCACGTGTACATTTGAACCCATAGGGCAGCCCAGGCATCGTGACGTGGATTGGAGCAAAATGGGCTCCTCTCTTCCTGCTTAGCAGGAAACCTTAATCCTTTTTCCTCAGACTTTCTGCATAATTCCCCTCCTTCTGTCCTGATCAGCATCTACCCTTGTCATTAACTGGCATCTCCTGCTATGGGCTGCGTCTTGCCACCAGCCTCAGCTTTCCAGACAGAGCCTGGGGAGACAGTGGTTCAGTTCACAGTGGGTATGGCAGCGAGGCCTCCGTAGGAGTCCCCAGAATCACTTGCATCAGCCTTGCAGGTAGCATCTCGTCTCAACGCGCTCCTGAGCAGCACACAGGTGTACATGGATGTCAGAGGGACTGTGGCTGGGTGCATGCTCACTCTGGACTGTGCAGCGGAGTAGAGGAAACCATGCCTCCCGAAGCTCAGCAGACACCAGCTCAGCCCTCAGCATATATTAGGGCCATGTCAAGTCCTGCCCTAACATGCACCTCTGTTGCAGCCACCCCCGCTCCCGAGCTGACCTCACAGCCAGGAATCTCTGGGAGAAACACTTTGACTATGCCTTTGGTGCTGGGCACTCCTTTAGAGGTAGCATCAAACTGGTTATGCCTGGTTTTGACCAAGGAGGATTTCCCCAGTGTGGAGTGAATTCCCCTGCGTGATAAGAATCAGACTCTTTCATGTTCTGCCAACATGCAAGGCAATAAGACCCTGAAGACCTCAGCTCTGTGTGTTCAAGACAGCCTCTCCAAGGTGGAGAGCTCGCTGCAGGACGAGGAACACCTTCCAATGCTCTGAGCTGGTAAGCTGGGTTCACATCCACAGTGAGGCAGGCAGGCAGGAATGAGCTTCAGGCTCTGGACACAGCAGTCCCACACCAAGTGAAAAGGTCTGCTGTTGTGACCTTTAACAAAGCTAAGTTCCCCTGTGAAAAGCACCTCTGTGCTGACCTCACTGCCACGTGGTAAGTATTTTCGTTTCCCCTAGCATCTTTTATTAAAATGAAACCAGTCTGCTGCTGTCTCTCCTTTGCAGCTTCATCTCGCTTCTACTTTCAGTTCTGAGCAGACACCTCTATGCTGCCTCTAGGCTGGGATGAACAGCAGACAATGTCACTTTGTGCGCAGGTAAGTGAGCAATGCTTCTTTTTCAAACTGTTTAGCTGTGTTAACTTCTAAAGGCCTAGTCTCCCTTGAAGATAGAGTTGGCTTGTCTCAGAGTAGGCAGTGAAAGCTCTGTATGAGGTGTACCTACTCTGGTGTGTGTTGTAAGGCTGGGAGACAGCTTCTCTTAACCAAGGAGGGGTTTTTGTTGGTGGTTTTGACAACCGAGAGTCACACGCTGCCACTGAACATGACTAGCACTGGGAAGGAGGAGGGAGCCCCTGGGCAAATACGCTGTAAATGCGGAGACTGCGCACAAGCCACCCTACTGCATTAGCCACCTGGTTTGGACCAGCCCAGTGGGGCGAGTACTTTTGGGTGTTTGTCATTCCCTTTGTAGTTAGGGATGGAGGCATCTCTCCTCTAAGAGCCAGAATGAGACTTTCAGCTTGTTTCACTAAGACCAGGTTCTTTTAGCCACTATCCAGCTGAGGTGCGTTGAATGAGAAACCGCATAGCAAAAGGCCCAGTCTAGAGGTTTTTTTGCAATAGCTTGAATTACGTTCAGTGTCTTTTGTTTTGAAGGATCTGACACATGGACGTGATGTGAGGTGAAACTGAGGCAGCACTGGAGCTATGGGAATCCCACCAACCATACGGATGGGGTTAGGTTTCACCCTCTGTGAACAGCGTGTGACCCAGAGCCCTATCAGACCCATGTGAAGCTTTCTGTTAGCACAGATCTGCTTTCCACCACATCTGCCGATTCCTAAATGCCAGGTGAAGGCTCGGCAGACTTCAGGCTGAGGCCGTGTCAGCTCGTAGCATAGCCTAGGGTTGGAGACGGGAGATGGGGATTGCGTTGTCAGATCGATTATTGACTTCCTTAGGCATATCCCTTTGATATTGTGCCTCCGCTTCAAGGAGATAAAGTATGAATACAGCTCCCAAACTACTGCAGAGTAGTCAGCTATCTCTATGTTCCTGAGAAGCTGGGATCCAACAGTGGCAAACTTGGCAACCAAGGATGGATGGATGGAAGTGTTGGGAATTGCATTCAATCAGGCCACCCCAAATACCAGCACTGGGATGATGAGCATCTTCCTTAAGCTGGCCTCCATGAGGGAATTGAGAAAGGAAACGGAGACCTCAGTATTCGCTTTCCTTCCGCCTCGCTAGCGTTTCTCTTCTGAATAATGTGGTGAGAGTGCAGATACCGCGTGTCCCCGGGGCCCCGAGCGGCGCTGGGGGCAGCGGTTCCTGGAAGGGCAGGGAGGGGAATTTCTACCCCATGCCGTAGAGGTGAAGCTGGGGGTGTGCAAGGGGAAGCGCTTCTGCAAGCAGGGCAGCTATGACTGGTCGGGACTTTTCAAACCCTTCCACATCATCCGTGTGTTATTTATTTATATGTGGCAATTGGTGCGTGTGGCATTCGGCGCCAGTAGCGGGTTACACCCCCGTGAGGGGACCACGTCCAGCTCGGCAGGTCCGAGGACGTGGATACTCTCTCAGAGCTGTCTAGGTCCCCACAGAAGTGGCAGCACCATCTCCCTGTGCATGCCTGCG